AGCTTCGTGTAGCCATTTTTGTAAACCTTTTCGTGGCGCATTTCCATCTGTTTCTTCTGAAAACTAATTTCAAATCGCGTGATCCTTTATACTCTTCTTTTTATTAATACATCACAAATCTACCTTTTCTGTATTTCGGCGGAGGGCATCCCCAATAAATCAACTGAGGAAAGGGCAATGCTTCACATTCCTCTCGAACACGAGTTTGTTCATTGACGGGGATAAAATATATAAGTAACGGTCATGTGTCGCCCGATACCATGCAACACAGTTCGTAAGGAGCGATACTTTCGGGTCTGAGTTGCCTCAGAAGCCATGTGGGCTTTACAAAATGTGCAAGTTGTTAGAAGACAGGACGATAACAAGATGAAGATGACGCAGGTGCTAAGGGTCCCAGGTGAAGTTGTTTCTCAAGCGAAGTACAGAAGAGGAAGAAGTACAAAAACGTGAATCTTACTCCCTGCGGATAATACTAATAAGTTAGTATTACTGCTCATGGCCTGAGGAGATCCATTACGGGAGATCTTTTCAAAACAAGAGCATCTCGAGTTGAGAAGAACAAAAGCAAAACATTTACTAACATGGCGCTCTCGGAGCAGAAGCCGAAGCAGAAGAAGAAGGCGAAGAGGACGCAAAAGCAGAAGCGAAGGCGGAAGCTTCTTAAGATCGGCATCCAGACGACGCAGCCGTCGACCAGGTCATTGAGGAAAGTCGTCTGACGGCACATCCCATTCAAAACGTCGCAGAAGATTTCCGAGACGTTCAGGCAAGCGCGGAAAGGCGCCGCTCCAGAACATCTCGTCGTGGCCGTGGCACGCGTGCAGAATCGCCTGGCGGTTCAACGAAGACGAAGAAATGATGACGGCCTGGCCCGCACTGCAAAGAGAGGCGGTGGCCGGAAACGACAAGATGCTAAACCTTCTGCAGCAGGAGAAGGAGCTCCTCCGCTGGAATAGCCGAGAAGCCATTCAACCTTACTAATTCCATCAACTTGTGAATAAAGGTTCCCTTGAGGAAAAGAGTATCCCCACGCTGCCCCGACTACCTGATATTTTCCTATTTTCAACAAAGGTATAGCGTTCGTTGAGTCTTCATTGTTCTTCTTAGGACCTTATAAGTCCGAAAATTTTCCTGCAAGCTGCGTGGTATGGTATCGAGCGGCACAATGGCCGCCCCGGAAATGTTTAATCACTGATCGGCAACGGAAAACATGTGTTCGAGGGGACTTTTGGGCAATATTTGTTGCCTCGATTGATTTGATGGAAGTGCTTTACTCTGAAAATCATAATACGTGGATTTGTGATGTGTAGAGATAAAAAGATGAACACAAAGGGCACGAGATCCGAAATGAGTTTGCAGAATCTGACGAAAAGGTATAACAATTCCCTATAAAAGGGCACACGTTGACGAGAATTCATCGCAATCAAAATGCTATTTGCTTTCATAGCAATAGGCTGCTTCCTGGTGAGCATCAGCGTCCAGGGTAAGTTTAGCTGCTCTATCGTCCACAAAATTTGAAAACTGTATCGTTCTCAACTCCCACTACAATGATATAAACGATTGCGCTCTTTCAGCAGAAGAATGCTTCACCTTCAAGGATCCCAATTTGTTTAGGCCATACAACGAACGCGTCCTCAACACTGGTCTGGTTAGTATTTTCACCAGAATTTTCTCATAAGTTCGGACTCAGACCTTTCGTTTATTACTCCACGCCGACCTGTCACTGAGGTAGAGATAGAAGAATTGAATTGTCGGGCCCTTCCAAATATTCATGTATTTTTGACCGAAATCGACATGGGAATATTTCATTGTCTCACCCTGCACTCTGCGACTAAGTTTTGCACTGTTTTGTGAGATTGAGTTTTCTTTAGGTGTGGGACCCAACAAAGATGTCTGAGATTTGTGAAGAACTAAGTGGTGGAAAGTTTGCTAGTCCAGACATTAGGTACGAGGCAGAAAGGTGAGGTCTACCCGCATGTGCATTTACCCGCTATACTTGTTTCCTTAGCAAGGCGTTCTTTAAGGGATTTCGCGAGAGAGCGAAGACGATATACACTCGAGGAGAAAGTGAAGAGAACCCTGTCCAAGCCTTCACCTCCAAATACACATCAGAAGAATATCGTAAGTTACAAGTTCTAGTGCAGAGCAGGTAAGTTTTCTTCGGTTGAAACCATGCGACAATACTGCAATAGCGGGCCAGGCACAATAAGTTTCTCTTTCCCTTAGAATAATCATGCGCGGTAGAATGAAGTTTTGGGCACTAATAGCGTCCCGAAATAGGTATCTTACCTTGATGCATAGAATTGCCTTTTGTTTGCCTTGCCTTAAATAGAAACCTTAAAAAGTTGCCTTCTAATTATTATCTTGTTTAGGTGAAGAAACTTCCAACCGGCTGGAAGTACTCTTGTAATGCCCTCGAGGTTGGAACTAAAATGAAAGTCCTATGCGTCTACTACGAGTGATTGAAAGTTCCCGCATAATTGCTAAAGAGGCTGCATTGAATTCTGCTGGATATGGTTTTCTCAAATGGCAGAATAAATTTGTCTCAAAGCAGAAATTGTTACGCAGAACTTGTAATTGAAAAGCACGTTCAGCGATTCCTATTAGTCGGTTTGTTACTGAAATGTTGACGACGGTGTAAGCAAGCTCTAATTTTCGAAATTCATCCGAGTTTACGGCCCAGCAGGGCAAGTAGATCAAGTACATCAAGTATATGACGTACTCGATCTAGTATGGATTTGGTCATATCTGCCCTCTCTGAACAGGTTACCCATCCCAATTCAAAGTTTTAGCGAGAAATTCGTTCATGGGAGATTTCGACCCCCTGAACACGAATATCACATCCTTCGACGAAAAAACGCTCGTCTGGCCAAATTGCGATTCTGGAGCAAAACTATAGTTGAGCTCGGAACAATTTCGAAAATTAGAGTTAAAGCTCTTATAGGGAGCGAAGCAAAAATTTTCGCGCCAACCGGATGCAAACCCGCGTGCGTTTGACTTGAAAGCGAGACCATTACCACGAGGCCACGGTGGCACTGCCGAGGACATCGATCAGCAGCGCTTACGAGCCAAAACTTTTCGCAAATTTTGACCACCCAGATCTCGTCTGGGAGGTCCCCGTAGCACTTTTCTCGGTCCCCGTAGCACTTTTAATCTGCATACTCGTAATCAGCATTCGAGGCTCTATCAATGTACTAGGTCTCCATTCAAAGTTCCGAAGTTCAAAGCCATTTCCTTGAACGGATCACGTTCGAGCTGTCCGCATACAGTTGGTGTCTATCCTATACCCATTTTCCCTCATCACTCAGGCCAAAAGGGATATATCCTCTGAAAATTGCCCAGGCCATTACATACCTTGGCGACCGGAAAGGCAGCTCCCTATGCACAATTGATGGTAGAAACAGGGCACGTCATCGTTGTGATCATCACAACGGGGGGTCGTATTTGCCCCCGATGGAGGGGGGGGGTCGTAAAAGCTAATAGAAGTTTGGAAGGAACCCCAGAAAAGAGTGCCTCATACAGTGAGCGGACTTAACAACAGTTCAAACAACTGTCGCCTAAACCTACACCTGAAAAAATCCACGTCTAGGAACGCAATTTCCTGATGCTAGTCAACATTTTAGATGCTGCAAAACAAAAGCTGAAGATGATGACGAGGGCCAGAACTCAAGAGCAACTGTGCTGCTTCTGCAATATCCCTCTTAGGCCGCCCATTTCCACAAAACATGACAATAAAAACTAAGCGTCCTACGTTAGTTTAATACAAGCAAAACGCAATTAACAATTGAGGTGTTGCTCATGCTTCAGAGTCCGAATAGAGGGTGATGAAGATGACAAAGGATAGAAATGAAGAACAACGAATGCAGATGTAAGATGGAAGATTCTAGGTCTAAAAATACTCATAGATGTCACTCTTTGATCATAATCAATAGAATTCATTAAGATGCTACGTCCCCAACGAGTAATGGAACTAGGCGTGAGGTTACTGTAGATCCGCAGTGCGACGTAATGGCACCGCAGCCGCCAGCGCCTATGGCCCGAAACAATGTGGCGCCTGCATGTAGTTCGTTCGGCGGTCAGGTGCACGCGCAGGGGTGCAATTCCCCACGCTAATGCAAGCGCATTGGGTCGCGGCGCTTATTTCGACTGGCAGCAATTTCAAGCCAAACACTCGAAGGGTACCGCTTTGAAAACACCTGTTAACTTCGTTGAAAGTAAAATGGTCTTGGTGAGGGAAGTGATAGTAGAGCTAGGTCTGGCTCTTGTTACCTGGATTGAACGGTTTCTGAAACATTTTCTTTCTAGAAAGTTTCACCGTTGTGATCCTCTTGTGATCCTCTTGTGATCATGGGGAGGGGGCAAACCACAAGTTGCCACGCTTGGACATCCATGGCAGGCTTCATACACGGCCAAAAAAAAGAGCTGTGCCAGACGCACGAAGCTTTTTACTTTCCAGCACAACTTTCACTTTATCGCTAGGCCTGCTATTCGAAAAATTTCCCCGTTGTGATCATAAAAAACCACTCCCCACGGCCCGAAAAATCAACCCCTCCGACGCCAGAAAATCTCCAGTTACCTTTAAGACATTGGTATGTTTCTAAAACGCATGTATTCGTCAAGCATATCAGGTGATAGTTCATTGGGCTCTAATTGGCATCACTTCTGCAATGCGCCATGCATAGGGCTTTCAGGTAGATTTGTTGGGAAGGTGCAACTTTTAGATAGGGCTTCCTAAGCGCAAGCACATGTGTTCCTGGATCAGAAAGGTCCGAAAATGTACTTTCATCTGTTTGTTGATCGTCACGTCGTGAGTCCTTTGCTTTCCCTTCCTCGTACGTATTGTCTGTATGCAGAGTGCTGGACGTGCTCGGGACGTACGTAGGTGCCGCGACCTCCCCCCCCCCCCTCCGCTCGACAGCAAAATTTTGTGAAAAAACCAGAGATTTTTCGGGAAAAATGGGCAATAGTGGCGGGAGATTCTAGGAGTGGCGGGAGAATCTAGGAAAGTGGAAAGTAGCATGGGGAGGGGGGTCGCACTTAAAGATGGAATCAGGAGGGGACCGTATTTTCCAGGAAATGATCACAACGCAAGGCGTGCCCTGGGTAGAACGTGCATATTAATATACTACATACAGCAGCAATATTGCAAATTCACCAGTGCTTCAATGCTATTGGTAACAAAAGCATTAACATTTGTCCCCCTATTTTCAGTAACATAAGACAAGTCTCCCTATCAAAGGCACGCCCTCCAAAAATTTGGTAGTTTCGCATGATTATTGCTCGCCTCATTTAGGGCACCTTGAGTCTTAACCATAAAGCGTCCCATTTGATGCCCTTGCAAGAGGTTGTAACGAGGATAATTTTTTCGCCCTTTTTAGGCGCCGCCTCTGTAAAATGCGAAACCCCACCTCTCCACATAGGACTGTAGCCTTTAAAGCAGCGCAAAAGTTCACTTGATGTCCCTACGCCCTTTCTGGGTATCATAGCCCTCCCCATAAGGATGCAGTATGCACTAGTTTTGCCGCTCACAAAGGCGACAGGAGACACCACACTCGACGCGCTTTACCTAAAAAAGCGGTCGTAGCCATTTTGTCGACATGTGCCTTGCGATGCTGTAACAAAGTGTGAACTGTTTCAGGGTATAATGCACTTTGGGAAGTCGAACTAAATTTATTATTGAGAAAAAGCGGATCTTTTTCCGTCAACAAGTTGAAATTCTCATCAACTTGAAAGGAAGAAGGGCAGTTTTCGTTCTGCAAAAACTGTTTCCATGATTTTTTCCCATATAGTCTAATCTTATTTCACTGATAATCAGAGCACCATCGTCCCTATAAGCCAGAGGTTCAAATGCTGTGAAGCTGAAAAAAAGCCAGGCTCAAATATTGTTGCTGGAAACGCAAAAATCATCAAAAATGAATGAAATGAAACAAACAAGGCACTGTTCAACCATAACTACCCCAAGAGAAATTTTTGAGGTGAAACTTTCCCACAGAGCAACTGTCGGTTGTCTTAGATCACGGATATAGCACCTTTTCGGCGCTGGCGCCAAATTGGCGCCAGTTTCGCGCCGCCACATTTAAACACACCAAACCAAAACATAATGGGATTGTTTGATGCCCTGATCACGAATATGACATTTTTTCGACGCCAGCGCATTTTAGCGCTAAGAATGAATTATTTGTAATCAAGATGTCAGATAACCTCCGTATACAAGTTTTCAGTGACCTAGGGTATTTTAGCGCCGGTACCTGTGGCGCGGCCGTCAGGCGATTTCAGGCCAAGTGGATGTGAAATTCGTGTTCAGGTGGTCGAATTACCCCGGGAACCCAACGTTCAGCCAAAACTGCTCCATAGAAAATGTCTATTAAACCTCGCCTGTTTTACGAACATGGGGTAAGAATTGCCGTTGAAAAGTCCCCATAAAAAGATACGGAAAATCTCAGAGGATATAACAGCACATGAAAAATCGGTCTCAGGATATCTGCCGTCCGCGAAGCCTCCCTCCTCCTTCCTTTTTCTTACTCCTCCTTTCTTTTTCTTCCTTCCCTCTCATCCTTCTTCCTTATTTTCCTTCCTCTAAATGTTCGAACAGGAGATGCGATTAGAAAAATCTCCTCCTGGACTCTTCAGAGCGAGAAGAGGTCGCACTTGACAACATGCCTTATAACCTTTTTTTAGGTAAACAGTCGAATATGAAGCTGAGTCCGTAGCGCAGTCCTGATCGCAACACAACTCAACCTCACGCCTAAATTCTTCTGTTGAGCCACTTGCGCTGTACTGAATAATCGTTATTGTTAGCGCCTCAGCAAGTCATTGTATAGGTCAACCTGCATTCGAAGCGCAAACTAAGAGCGAATCGCCATTGCAACTTCTAACGGAACTAGAATCTTATAAGGGGGGTGATGACAAGGGCTTCAGTCTATGATACTCACTGGCGGAATGCCTTCTTCTCCCTAGCGTTAGTCCCGCGCCGTCGCAGGGTCCGCTGATCTTGTTAGACGTCGCCACTTGTTCCGATCCACTGCATCTTCTGCTGTGGCTTTCACTTCAGTGAGGTCCTTCTTGATGACGTCCCTCCATCTTTTCTTTGGGGCTCCTCGTGGTCGCTTGCCCTCTACCTCGGAGTTCCAAGGCCTCGAGGTAGTGGCACAAGCGAAACCACGAGGAGCCCCAAAGGAAAATGGACTCACTAGCGGAATGTGCTGGCGCAGTATTCAAGACGTATAATGGTGATGGAAGCCCCTTCAAAGGGAAATCCAATGTTGATAGTATGGGCGGATCCAGGCCTACTGTTGCACCTTCTACATTGGCGTACGCTCATCCGTATTTTCTATGAGAATGTGGCGTTGGAGAATCTGCCAATTCCACCAATACCTAGACCGTGTGATGGCATCATGTGAGAGACGACGGAACATCTTCAGCTTTCGGAAGGCACCTACCAGAAGCGCAGAAAGTCAGGGAC